CAATCAATGATTATCACAAAGTTCCAATTACCAAAAGACGGTCTTACTAAGCACATGAGAATGACTAATATCTAGTCATAATATAGGTAGTGGTTGTGGAGTGGTTCATATCAGAAGTGTTAATGGGAATGTTGTGAAGAACGTAGTTGTCAGACTTTCATTTTGTGGAAGCCTCGGTGGCTGAGTGGGTTAGTTCGCTGACTTTGTGTGCTGACTATTAGGTGCCTCACTCTGGCAGTGACGGTTCGAGGCCCATTCGAGATTCAACCCCCCAAAAAGTCCGAGAATCTGTACTTTACTTAGAAAGCATTATCCCAAATATAACATTTGTTACATTTGACCACTTTCTGAATGGCATTGTGTATTCATAGTTGGGGAGATATGATCATGTCAGACAGGTCCCATCCGATGTAGTTCTCAATCAGAAACAACTGATACCTTATGATTATCTGTGATGTATTTGTCAGTAACTGTTACTGCCTCCTTCCCTCAAAAGCAATCTTATCGCTATGGTGATCTTAGTGCTAAGATCATATGTAGGGATTACATACAGTAGTTAAAATGTTAGGGGGATACACTGTTCAAGTTGGGAATACCGGTTCTTAGGATCATGGTTTACTTTGAAATTGAAAAAAGAGAAATCCACTGAAAATGCAATCAGTGTAAGTCTTTATGGTCATTTGGAACTTGGATATAATTATGATCAGGAATGTTATGTAGAGCAATTTATTATTTATATGCACGTCTTAAGAAAGAGCAAAAAGTTTGTTTGTTTGTTGTTCAACGCCCCACTTAGCAATATTCCAGCTATATGATGGCAGTTAAAGTAGCCCTGAAATGTTGTCTATGTAGAATATAGAGGTCGTCATCCCTAATATTCCTTGTCATAACCAAACATATACAAAAGCCCTGTCACATATACTTGACAATAAAATCTAATTGAGTATATCAACATTTTTACATTTAAGTTTATGAAGGAGCGTTAGGGGGCATCTTAGCCTTGCTCCAAGGCTGTACTGAATGATAAGTCCATGGGTAAATAATAAGAAAATCCTTATAATAGCAAGTCTAGATAAGTTAATGACGCCAGTCTCTTATTGGGACAACTTGTTCTTATTATTTATATAATATAGAAATGGTGATTTAAACTAATAATTTCTATCTTGAAGACCTGTGCAAGTCTAGGGGCATCTCAAAAGTTTAAGATTTATGTTTTCTATCCTGAATTGAACTTTTGAACTGCGGCTCCCTTACAGGAGTGGAGAGTTAGTCTTGCGTGTCCATGATTGATCAGGACAATTAGTAATTAGGTGACTCAGTGCCACTGGAAGACAAACACAGAATGACTAGGAGAGACTTGTAAGTGTCGAGACCTGCACCTGGCGTGATTCATACGCTGTAGACGGTTCCTGACACTGGTAGATGGCGCTAACGATACAGCTGGCAGCAGATTGTACACTACGGTCTCTCGCCATCAGTTAATTTGGTACATCAGGGACCAAAATACTTTCGAAACTGAAACGTAACCCCTGTAAATGGAGAAATGTTTTAATTTTGTACCTTTGCAATTTACCCTGCAAGATCAATAAGAACTTGCAACAGTCTGAATCATGTCAGGATAAACATTCATATTATGCCGTATAAAATTTGATACCCAACATACACTGGCTGACTCTCAGGGTTCTCGTTCAATACAGCAGTTTAAGATTTGATCTCCAAATTGCAAATAATGACTTTGAAAGCATACAAGTCTATAATTATTTAGGTTTTTCATTTGATATTGTTTACTAGAGATACATACAGCTGGTGTGAGACATGATGCCAAATAACTACCTCATGGTACCTCATGCTATCAACCAATAGAAGTATTTCTGAAAAAATATTAGTTTATTAAATCTGCTTTTGTGTTCATTTCCTTTGGGGAATTCAAATAAATACATAAATATATATATGTCATCTAAAACTTGCAGTTACATATGTTTATGTAACAATTTATTAGACATCCAACTTTTGAACTGCTCCCTTAACTAACTGTATGATAGCCAAGTGGTCAGTACTCCCTACAAGACCATGTTTGATTCCCTACATGAATACAGCGATGACTCCTCATTGTTACAAACCACCGGCTGCTGTGAGAAGGTACTCCAATCTAATACCAGTGTACATAAAGCCCCACATGTATATACTAACATGAAAATCGGGAATAATCCCACCCAAAGTTTTTTTCCAGCTGTATCAATGTGGACATTGATATGCATCCAAACCTGTCTTTGTCACACATTGTTACATTGGAAGGAAAAAAATAAGTGGGAGTGAATGTTACACTTTATGGTCATGCCCCTTGACCTTAGTAATGAAATTGGCGGAAGCTCGTTATTAGAAAATCATCCGGGAACTTGTTGACTTATGGACTTGAGGACTGCAAAATGGCCATTTATACACTTCGGTGAATGGTAAGCATGCTCATTACCGCCTGTAATGTTGAGCTAAACTCATGCATGTACATTGCTCATTGACGGGTGATAGTAGTGTATGTTTTGTGATGATGGTGTTGTTGATATTGCAATTAACAAATATTTATTCTTCTGGTAGGTATATTTGGAGTCTTGTGAAAGTCATGTGCAACCAAAATATCGTTTGATGTTCCATGTTTAGAAATGTTAGACAGTGTGTTGTTTGTATTTACGACTAATGGGATAGTTATCAAGGGGATGCTTATTCAGCCAACATGCTGTTAATTAACCCATCTTGCCAAAGAAGTGTATCTTCTTAACAGGGTCTCTTCATATGTGTACTGTTTTGTCAGTAATTTCTGTAGCAAATCGTGTGAATGTTTGAATGTGTGTGTTACAACTAATTGACTGTTGAGGCTGATTTGATTAAAATGATTCAAAATAGGACAAATATTGTCTTTGAGAAAACGATGACATAATTATTAGGAAATATTGCAGATTAATGAGTCAAGATAGGACAAATATTGTGTTTGAGAAATTGATGACATAATTATGAAGAAATATTGCCGATTAATGAGTCAAGATATGATGAATATTGTGTTTGAGAAAAAAGGTGACATAATTGTGAGGAAATATTGCAGATAAATGAAGAAATGTTGGTTGAGGTGTGATGTTCTATAGAAACAGGCTTGGAACGTAAACAGTGAGATGATGGGCTTTCAATTTGTACATTATTTTATTCTTTATATTTGATAAGATTTATGTGGTTATATGCAAATATTTCTGACAACAGTTCTTGACCACACATATATTATGACAAAGCCTGATTCTGCTGAACAGACCGGTGGTCGATGGTGTGAACACGTATTCAGTCCCTAGAGGAAGACCTCCTACCATGCGTCAGCATGTACCTACTTAGGTCTGCGCTGTCAGGACGTGATTGAGTGTTTCACAAAGCGAAATAAGGGGATACAGGAAAGTTGTTCAAGGTCAGTTTTGTCCCGGTTGATAACATCAGGCTCTACAATAGGGTGGTACCCATTCTAGGCTTGACTGTACAGTCAGTTCTGGTGTCATGGGATACGAGAGAGGCTACAGAGGCTTGTTCATATCAGTGAGCCTGAAGTGTATGAAATGTCTAGAAATATGCCGTCTGTCTGATGTTATCAAGCCATGGAAGCCCAGGGTTGCTGAAATAAGACCTTTGTGATAACCTTTTGGCTTCCATGGGCCCCTGCACCTTGCATGGGTTCTACATCTGAGAGTGACCAGATAAGATACTACTTTGATAATGGCCACATCACTGGACAGCCCTTATCTGTTGAAGGGGTTTGGGTAGCCGAGTGTTTGGCCTATTCTTTCTTGGGTTTAACTTCAAGGAACATGGCAGTCATTATACTATCAGGATCAACATCGGAGACTTGTAGGATGGAGGTTACAAACAGTTTCGTATGGTGATGAAGAATGTGCGCATCTCTAGGTTTTGATTCATTGTTTGAAACAAAAGGGAAATGTATTAATGTTCGATTATCGAAGGATCATTATTTTGAATGAACTGAAGAAATAGTAGTATCCATTAAATACACTGAATAAAAGGTTAGGGATAGTGAATATTTCGGAGGATATTTTTATGAAATTGTGTGTTCACTGAACACTGTTCAGTCTTTACTTAAAAGATTACAAAATAATCATGATCCCTAACTTTTTAAACTCTTTGTTTTTGTTATTAAAAATATACATTCATAATGGTTGTAGAATTATGTTAGCAATCTTTCCTTTTGATTTAGGGGGCGGTGAGGTAGCCTAGAAGTTAAAGCGTTTGCTTGACGAGCCGAAGGCCCAGGTTTGATTCCACGCATTGGTACAATGTGTGAAGCTCATTTCTGGTGTCCCCCAGCCGTGATATTGCTTGAATGTTGCTGACAATGGCGTAAAACCAACTCATTCACTCACTCACTCACTCACTCACTCACTCACTCACTCACTCACTCACTCACTCCTTTTGAATGAAGATGCTTGATGTCGCAAGATTTTATTCCCATTTCTTTTTATGTTTTTTTAACTGCGAGTCTTTGCATGAAAAATGTATTATTGAAACTTAAAGCCATTAAAAGTATGCACTTAATCAGAATATTTAATCAGAAACTCATGTTTATTTAGGCAAAATGGCTTGGCATTTACAGAAATGACTTCAAGATGGCAAATACATGATAATTAAGAATTATTTCTTACAATATGGCACAGTCAGTGCGAGCTGTCATCAGAAACCACCATTATGATACACTGATAACACTAAGGTCTTCATGATGTAACACAGCTTCACTTCGTACTGCATTGGATCACAAAGGAAGAAAGGATTCTGGTAGTGCATCGTGGCAGCTATTTCAAGAAGTTATAATCTAGATTCCAGTTGAGCCTCCCTGCTACCTCCCTGAGTTCTTGTTGGTTCTGCTTTCTATGAATGTGAACATGAGGTGACGCAGATTGGTCGCAGGAGAAACTGTGTCAGACACTGCAGGAGGAGAAACCCTGCCTGCTAGACTCTTTCACCAGCAGCTAGTGAGTGACAGTCCTCATTCCACTGAGAGCAGACGCCTTGGAGCAGACGTCTAGCGGCAGACCCAACATATTCAGCTCCAGACACCATCAGTGCAGCAGTTTCACTTCATCCTTGAAGGAATCTTTTTGTGCATTTTCATTTTCTTTGGAAATTTTGTACTCGAGCAAATTGGATTTTGTTTATTCAAGGAGTCAAGAGACGACTTTGGAGAAGCAAATTCAAGGATAGTTTGAAGTTAGCTCAGTGGATGATATTGTAGCAGAGTACTCAGGATCAATACTGTTGGATTACTTGGAGCTGCACAAAAGAGTCAAATGCGGTCTCTCTGATTCTCTAGGTGGTTTCTCTGGGTGATTTAACGACACATCTTGCAAGTTATTTATTCCGTCGGAAGTTATTTACATATTTTTGTGGTGAGTATGTGATGCGAGGCAAAAGATGTGTTTGAAAAGTGATCTTTGTACTGCTTGTTATTTTTTCAACATGGATGTGTTCTAGTTAGGGTGCTGTTTTGTCTCCATTACCACTTGACTTGGTTTCTATGCGTTGTATCTATGAATCTGAAAACTGATTCACATCGCTTACATACTCAGCCATATCATAGTTCAAACTTTGTCACCAATATACTTTATCAGATTACACTTACGTTTCTGTTCTATTTTCTGTATGAAATTAACTGAGGTTTTTTTTCATGTAACCTTTTCCCTACTTATGAGATTATTTTATGACCCACAGACTGTTCTTGTTTTGAGGAATACATGTAAGTTTCATCATTTTATATATGCTACTAAAAAGTAGTTAGGATATATACTACTAAAAAGAAGTTAAAGATCACACAATCTTTTTAATTTTAGTTAATTACTCATGGCCATGACAGATAAACTATATAGAAAGTAATAGGAAAGAATTGTGTGTTTAACTTCTTTTGAGTAGTATATGTTAATTACTATTCAGCCTTGATCACTGGAGAAAATAAGCACTTGAAGAAGTGGGTTAGTTTGGCAACAGTCGTTATAAGCTGTAATCTGATCATGTGTGTTCTCGTGCTACAGTTGATTATGCACTCAGCAGTCAATTACTACAATGAGATTTTGTTTCTCTTTCCTTGTTGCACATTTATCTTAATATGGAATTTTTTTAAAATGTTTGATGCAAGTTGGAGTCAGTTGTGAATTTAGATCCATTGGTGTTGTTTCAAGTGGCCACAGCAAAATAATAAATTGTTTTGCGGATGTATTTCCCCAAAGTAGGATTCAGGACAAAGGATTGCGTGGAGTGATTTGGAATGATTTGGAGATTTTGTCTTTTCAGATTGTTATACCTCAAGTTATGAAATAGTAATGAATCGGTGATATTTTTTTATTTATTTTAACCAAACTTGATTGGGTGTAATTGTTTTGGCCCTCTGTTAGCTAATGAGATTGGGGGATGGGGGTGAGTGTGTGTGACGATGTTGTTGGCATGTGTTCTGTTGTAACTAGATGTGTTCCCTGCACTACTCAGGAGACACCGGAGCTGCAATTTTCAGCCACCAGTCCAGGCTCTGGATTCAGGGCCTATAACCAAATTGACAAAAATCAATGTCTGCTTCCCTGTATCTAATTCAGTAACATTCACAACCGACGCAGCCCTTGGTGCCATTTCATCATTTTATGGACATTTCTGTTGGATGCGGTGCTAAATTTGGCCTGTGCTGGTAAGAAAGTCGAGAATGTTTCTAATAAGCTCCCATAAATCACTTAATCTATAGTGTGTTGACTCACTGAAGGCTGAGTGTTTTCCTGAAAATACAGACACTTACTGAAGATACGATTCTGCGAAGTTTGTGAGTGATGGGGGAAGCACGTGGGTTGTCGGTACCGCAGCCTGTTCAAACATGCAGCTAGGGGAGATAAGATGTGCGGTTATTTTCATAGTTAATGACTTATTAAATGATTTGTAGCCAATAAACTTAGGCCTTATTTCATTAAAATTAATTGGATATTAAGTGGGTCTAAAAAGTCATGTCATCGTGTCCGCAAATGCGTAGATCGATGCTCATGTCAATCACTGGATTGCCTGGTCCAGACTCAATTATTTACAGACTGCCGTCATAAAGTTGGAATATTGCTGAGTGCAAACGGTCAACATCAAACCAAATATATTTTATTGAAATATCAGTTAGGGATAACTTCATTTTATGGTTACTATTTCTAGTGATACCAATATCTCCTCTCCCATCCCTCTCCACCCCTTATGCACTCTTTCTCCTCAAAGGGGGCATGGGTGGCCCGTTTTAGAGCGCTGCGATTTGCTGTGCAGAGTTTCGTCCCTTGTGAACGCCAGAAACCTATGATTGTGGGTTCGAATTCCGGTTCGCCCCGATTATGTTTCTAGTTTTGTCAGCACCATACCCGTGCTTGTGGATTTCACCAAAGTGGTAAACGTTTGAGACCTGCATCACTTCGGGCTTTCCTCCCACATTAAGCTGACACGCAGCGATATAACTTGAATACTGTTAAAAGCGGCGTTAAACCCAACTCACTCACTCACTCACTCACTTTCTCTACCACCCATTTCCTCATCCATCCCGGGTTATTCATCTCTTCTCTTCAAACACCCATATATATCTCTTTCTCTCCTCCCCCACCCCATTCTCAATCCTACCCCTCTCTCCCACCCTTCTTATCCACCCCTCTCAGCCCTCCCACCCCTCCCCAGCCAGCCAGCCAGCATAGCTCGGACCCAGAAATTATGACGATGTTGTAATGGGAAACATTAGTTGTGATCATGAGAGCCAGCAGTTGCAGAAACCTCACATTTTCCAGTAAAATGATACTCTCTCACTCCGAAACTGTTGAATTATTCACATTATGAGTCAGTGTAGCTACCTGTGAATCACACGCAGATGTCGTTCATTCAATATGCCACAATCACTGTGCTCTATAATTGCTGGAACAACTGAAGCCATTTCTGGAACATGAGTAACGACAATATATTTTTTTCCCAAGAACAGAACAAAATCAATTGAACATTAATCGTCGCTGTCTTAATCTTTTAATCAATGAGAAATTCATAACCAGTGGGGTGTGCACTTCAGCTTCTCGGCTACTCGGAATATAAAGATTAATTCATACTGATTCATCAGCCATGAAGTTAAGTGATTCTGCCATGAGGGGATCTACTGCAATGATATAAGATGAGATATGTATCGCGTAACAGTCCATGAAGAAACAGTGGCATATTCTACCAATTACAACATATATGCACTGTGAGTACAAAACACAGGTATATTCCAGATACAACAGGAAGTACATGCAAACAATGTCTTTTTAACCAGATGTAATAAGAGCTGAAAATTGTTAGTTTTAAAAAATTGTAATGATTTAAAAACTTATTATTTGTGTTAAACAATATGATGAATGTTTTTGAAACTGATACATTTTCTTCAGCAGAAATGTATTACTCGATGACATTTTTCACATTTTTTCTGGGATTACAGTCATGGGGTTAACAAGGCTACCATGGAAAAACATGCTGATTCCTCAAAAATTGTTTTTAAAGAAATTGGCGGAAATCTGAGGTGTTTTTGTTGCACCTGTTGCTGTGGCTTCTGCACAGGCCGTGCAGGTATATTGATCTAAGCAGACAATACTGCAACCCGCATCTAAGTTTACCTGTGTTAACGAGTTACCTGGCACAGGTGAGTCAGAGATACTCAGTAGGGTAATAGTTATTCAGCGCCACCTACTGTTAGTGTACATGTTGGCATCGTTGGTGGTTCACCTTTAACTTGGTACGTACATTTATTTTCTAACGCTTGGGTCTGTGTTTTCTTTGTTTTTTTGCCATCTGTTTTTTGTTTGACTAAGGGGATCGTTCTGTTTGTGTTTCAGGAATGATGCTAATTCTGATTCCTGTAATTTATCTTCAGAGTGGAAGTTTTTATTATGTCTTTGAATTAAGAGTGATGCTTTACACATACTTTTGTAGATAACGGGGGATAAACTTGTGATACGTATCCACAGCAAATGAGAATGATAACAAAACACATTTATATACATTGTATCCACATTGAGGTATTTTTGCACCTATTTTCTTTGATAAGTTTCAAAGTAAAAACAAATATACAATTTCAATTTTATTTAGCATCAGAATAAGTATTTATTTAATATAAACCATTCAGAAATATTTAGTCTGTTTTTAACCTCCAAAACTGCTGACTTCCATTAAATTCGAATTTCTAACTGTGAGACATTTTTAAATTTAAAAAGAAGATAACTACTGATTTTTTTAAATTTTCTTGCTAACCTATGATACAGAAATGATCAATTTCAAAGTCTCCTACATGAAAATAAAATTCAATTTGATGAGCATGAACTGAAAGAAGTGTTCAATTCTTTTAGGAAACGAAATACTTTTGTCAAAAACATAGTCCCCCTCATCAAATTCTCCCAGTTTGAGACCATGCATCCCTTGAGGGCATTGCAGAGATCAAGTGCCTGGCATGTACAGCAAACAGCATCCTGCTGGGAAGACCATATTGATAAATGTTTAGAAAATGAATTGTTAAAAAAACCCACATGTTCGTTTGACATGCTCAGGGACGCGAGAGGACAAGATTGATTTTTCTGCAGTATTTCCTCCGTATTTGACATTTCCGATTTCCATCCTTTGATGAGAACGTTGCAGAACCATGATTAATTTTACATGAAACTGTAGCCACAAATTAACTGGTGTCGTTTGATGATTTCACCTGTCTCTGGCGCCTAGGAATGTTTTCTGTTGTCTCCACGGTAACAGGAAATTGCAGCAAAATAATGGAGAAATGATGGATGGATATTGAAACATTTTCCTTGCTAGAATCTCTTGCTTTGCCGTAATAGTTGTAGTAATACAATAGGTTGGTTATTGGTCTCTCGTGTTACCCAGTTGACATTTCCTGTGCGATGTTAATAAACTCAACAGGCTTGTGCAGGAATGTTCATCACATGTGATATGATATCATGCCTAGTGGTCATTTCTACAGGGTACATTGTCTTTTGGTTCATTGATTTGGTTCTCTTGACTGTAAATAGCTCAAACTATGATTTTTAAAAAAGAAATCATCTTTTAACTTAAGGCAGGGTTTTTCAGATTTTGATCCTACAAATGAATCAATAGAAAATATATCTACAGAGTTTTCTTAATCACAGGACATGATGCCATGTCTTTTCAGAAATCATAGGCTTTTAAGTTTCAGGGCATGGAGTCTCAATTTGCACAAATTTGTCTTAGTGCTAAGACCTTTTTAAACTCAAGAGTCATTTTGTTACATTGTTGGGGGTGGGATTCTTGGCAGGGTCCTGATATAGAATAAGACCCCAAACTCTACCATTACAAAATGCAAAACCATAGGGCATCACAAAGGATGGGTTACTTCTTTGGGGGTTGA